GAGTACTCGGGGGAGCATACGAGCTCAAGACCCTGAAGGGTAAACAGATACCTCAGGCATGGAACATCGTCAACTTAAGACGATTTTACCTATAAATTATCAAACTAAGCAGGCCATGAGCCACTACCAGAGCCTAAGGGTCAGAATGTCGAACTAACAAAGACCTTGGCACCCTAAGGCCCAGAAAACCGAGCTAACAAAGATGACCTCGGCACCGTAAGTAGACCATGAGCCACTACCAGAGCCTAAGGGCCAGAATGCCGAGCTAACAAAGACCTCGGCACCCTAAGGCCCAAAAAACCGAGCTAACAAGGACCTCGGCACCGTAAGCAGACCATGAGCCACTACCAGAGCCTAAGGGCCAAAATGCCGAGCTAACAAAGACCTCGGCACCCTAAGGCCCAGAAAATCGAGCTAACAAGGACCTCGGCACCGTAAGGGCCAAAATACCGAGCTAAAGAGGACCTCGGCACCTCATCAACGAAGGCAATCTGCACATTAATGGATCCCGAGGTGCATAGCCCAGATCGGGATCGGGCACAGCCTAACTACGTTAACTCACCTCGGGGCCTAAGTCTAGCAGTTCGGCAACATGGTCAGCTCGGCAAAAAAAGAAAATAATTGCCAAACACTTTGCCAAAAAGGGGAACTATTCATTACAAAATAAACTTGTTTACACTTCATCCAAAAAACAAAAAACAAAAACACAAACGAGCTCACAAGCCCAGAGGTACATCTTCCTCGCCTTCAGAAGGGACTTCGACAATACCCGAAGGACCCGCTTCGTCTGCGGAATCCGCATCATCATCAGCTGCAGCAGCCATTTCCGGAGTGATGCGTGAAGTGGTTATGGCATTAATGTCAAGCTTGGGGCACGTGTTCCTTATCATCCATCGACTCAACTTGAAACCCCTCCTGTACGAGCCCACCATCATATCGTCAAAGCGCGGCGAAGCGATGTAATCCTCGACGGCTTTCACCTTCGCCTCCTCAACGGCCTGAGAGAAGATCTAAGTTTTCTCCCTGATATCATCCTGAAGGTACTCGACCTGATACTCCAGGTCCAACTTCAGGTCCGCCATGTGTCTTACCACCATTCCTAAGGCCTCTTTGTCCCTCCGGGACCTCGATAGCTCGGCTCGCGCAGCACGGGAAGCCATTTCGGTAGCTTGTGCTCGCTTCAAGCCCCTCTCCGCCTGGATTGCCAAAGTGTGGATAGAGGAGTTCACCTGCTAGAACAAGGACAAATCAGCTCGGTAAAAAATAAAAAAAAAATAAAAAATAAAAAAAAAGAAAAAAAAACAGTGGGGACAAACACTACTTTGACTTACCACCATGGCATGAGAGGCAACCCAAGCGCCTATGAGATTTGTAGGAAGATCGGCCCACGCCGCGACCTCCTCGGGGCAAATGGCCTTCTTGCTTTTTCGGAGCGCGTAGCTCAGCGTCAGCATGCTCTCAACCTCATCGTGACTTCCCGAGCCTGAAGGCACAGCCCGGGTATAAGCAGTGTCGACATAGGGGACCCCTGCCGCTTCTTGAACTGGAGGGGGCACCTCGAGCTCCCCAGGAGGCTCCATTCTCGGTGCCTCGGCCTCCGCAACCTGGGAAGGATCGGCGCGGACCCGCTTAGCAACTCGTTTCCTCCTTTTCATACCATTGAACAGACTCACACCTCGAATCTTCTCTGCCTCCATAACACCTGCAAAAAGGAGCTTGGCGTCAAAAGACGAGAATAAAAACAAAAGCAAAAGTATCGTCTGAGCAAGAAACCTACCCGAATTCAGACCGGCCTGAATAAGCTTGTCCTCCGTTAGGTAGACTTCGCATTTGAGCCCAAGTCGGGCCCAATGCTGGAGGCCCTTCACCGTATCTTCGTCTAATGCGACACCGAAGTTTGGAACGGCCAACCCGCATTCAGTAGGAAACGGCTACCCCGTAGCACTTCGAACCACGAAGTAGTCCCGCTTCCATGCCGAGACCTTATTTGGGAGATCATGTAAGAGCTTGAAGCTCG